GGAGGCTGCCCTTGCTAGCAAGAAGTTCTGTGTGTTTCTCTTCTCTGAGTCTTTACTGAAGAAGTGTTTTAGAACATTTTCCTTAACACAAAAGCAAAAGAAAGCAAACCATGTAGAAGCAGTGACATTAGTATGGATGCTATTAGAGTATTTCTTCTTGTTTCCAGTTGTAAGAGCTGCTACTATTGCTAAAATTCCAGCTGCTAACAAAACTAAAAATGAACCTATGAGATGTTAATGATGAAAGATGCACATAGCTGCTTTTGCGGTTGTTTGTGTTAAAGCTGTGAGTTCAGTACCTTTTTCTTTCCGTTTCAGAAAAAAAAACACCTGGTGTAATTTTGTACATCAGTGCATATTTAGTTTTTTTGAGATTTAGTCAAACACACATTATCAGCTCCTATTTGAGATCATAATAATGCATAAGAATGACAGTAATATTGTGTAATTCATCTGAATACTTTCACTGAAATTCCCACAGTATCATCAGTGATTGTCATAAAGAACAGAAATACATGTCGGAGAGTTTTCAGGTGCAACTGAATGAATGCATCATAACTCAGCTGTGTAGGAACCTATGAGTGTAGAATCACACCACCAATCCTGTGAATGCTGAATAACTGCTATAACCACATCACATTTAAGCAGGTCTGTCTCTCTGCCTGTAGACACTGGTGCAGTCGAAGCCCAAACACCACAAGTGGATGTTCAGTTATCATAAATGCATATCACACATATTTCTCTCTCAGATATGATGAGGTGTTAAATCCTTAAATGAGGCAGATGTGCTAGTTGTAATGGAATATTTTCAAAGATACTAGTTTCACAAAGAAATGATCTTCTTCATCATCATTATAAGGTAATGGTCAGAATCTGAATCTGTTAAGAACACTAACATTTATAAACAGGAAGGGAGTGCAAGACAGAGACTTTGATCACAGGAAAAGCAGGCTACAGCAGACAACAGCTGACTCAGTCATTAAGATAGTTTTATGATTGGTTCATTTGCTTTGCTTGCTTTAATCTTTTCTTGCTCAAGTACAAGTAAATGAAGTAGTTTTACTGCTGTCAGTGGGAGCAGCAGAAGGAAGCAGCACAGAGGTGTTAGAGTCAGATTAACTTTAAAAGCAGTGTTAACCTGAACTGCACAGTGCTCACTGAAGGTTGAAAAGGTTTCATTTCCTCTGAGGTGTCAGTGGTTTTTATTTTCTTTTTTTTTTTTTTTAATTCAGACGTGACATCAGCCAAACTCACCATGTAAAGTAGGAAGTACAGAGCACTTCTTTGTCTGTCCCATCAGAGCTGAGCTGCTTTCAGACGACTCCGTCTTGTTGTGGATGCTGAAGCTGATCATGGTTCTCCTGTGGATGATCCTGTTGGTGCTTCTGCTCTGTGCAGAGGCCGAGAACGTGACCGAGGTCAGAGAAGAGCTGGGGACCAATGTCACTCTAACCTGCTCCAATCAGACATCAGACACACACTGGTACATGGAGATCTACAGTCAGTTCAGAGCAGGTATCGGTCGCAGTTTTTCCTCAGCAGACTCTACCTACTACTCTCCTGGTTTTGAATCCAAATTTTCAATCCTGGGAAACAAACTCGTGATTAAAAACTTGACAGCAGAGGACTGCAGGCTTTACTTCTGTGCCATCAAGAGAGGAGGCAGCATTCAGTTTGTGGAGACTTTCCGCGTCGTCTCAAGTAAGTGCCAGAGTTTATTTAACTTTATTATTTATTGTTCAGGCCCCATGATCCGTTAGTGGTAAAGCATACTTTGAAAAACCTGACAGTGTGAAGTAAGTGGTAAAGTTTTTGTTTTGTTTTACATTACGTCCTGTATGGAGTAACACAGTGTGAAGTAGCTTCATTCTCGCATCATGGGTTTTTTTTTTTTTGGTTTTTTTTTAAATTGACTGATTTTAATTTTATTTGAACAGCTTTCTTTGCGTCTCGCTGGTGTTTAGGTCTGGATTTCTTTGCAGTACATTACATTTTGTATCAGCACATCTCAGAGTTAACATTCTGTTTGCCACTTTCTGAAATATTTTCCTCTATTTCTGTTGAATGTGAGGTCTTGTGTGTATGAAAATACTGCATTATGTGGTTAGGTTATTTTTAAATATCAATATTTGTTCTCAACTCCGACCTGTATGGGTGTTAGTAAGTCCTAAAATTGGTGCCACCGGTGCGTCGAGCCACCTGGGGGGCTCTTCAACTGGTGGGGGAGATTGTCACATCTTGCAGGAGCTTTCCTCTCTTCAGGAACTCTCT